CAGCTTTCTTGAACCTTGCGGGAGCGGCTTTTGAGTCTTGGGTTTCTGTCATCTTTGCTGCCTATCTGTAATAATAAACCCATTTCACGGAACTTGCATGTGACTGTTTTGTCTCACCAGACTCTGACCACTTGGTAACCAGTGCACAGTGAATACGCTTCACAGTAATAACTGGGCTCAGTCTTAACTTATACATAGGAATTTTGTGTGTTTTTAAAATATTCCTTTCTTGCACTGAAGAGGCCTGACTGAACCTGCTAGAAATATTAGAACGGAGCAAATTGGTGCCACAAAAATATCTGAGATTTAATTTTGAGGTTTTACCTCATGGTTTCATATGTTGGGCACTAAAATAAGTCATTTAAACATAACTTTTAAAAGCCAGGCAGTGGTTGCTTATTTTGAGGAAATTGCAATATATACCTATAAATATTATCAGAATTGCTACTGTTGGCTTGGAAGAAAATATCCACAATGATCACATACCAATTCAAATCTTTTTTTACTTCAAAATATTTGGACAGGTCTGAACATGAGGTAACTCAGAAAATCCCTTGATCATTCAAAAATTGGCTCGTGATGTTGAGGGGATGAGATTACAAATGCATGAAACCCTGACGTAGATTAGACCAATCAGATTCACTCTCTCAAGAATTTTAAGTTCCAACAGATTCCAAGTGCTGAACTCTAAAGAACCTATAAAATAGGACTGGACCAACCATGGTTACCAGTCGGCTTGGTTGTAAGGCAAGCAGTGAAAGCTCACCTCCAGAAGAGTCAAGTGCTGAGGAAATTAGGATTAAAAGTCAGGTGGAACCAAGAGAGGCGGGGAGAGATTGGGATAATTGGGTTGTGTTGGTTTCTGGGTTGCCTTGATTGCCTTGTTTGGGTGCTCTCAATTTCACTCCCTTACAGGGCCTGGCTACACTTCTTGTCCTTGGATTTTATGGGATCCACCAAGATTGCTCCAGGCACTGACTAGATAATGACTTTTGTTACATCCAAGCAAACAATTAACGTTTGTACTAAAAAAAAAAAAAAAAAATGAGAAGGCAGCCTAAGACCAAGCAAGAAAAGGCAAAACGTTGTGTAGCACAATATATACATCTTTATCACAGTGCTTATTTACTTCTGGACTCCATTGAATGAAAAACAATAGAATATAAATCAATTCATATGCTGCCTTCATATTCCCCTGGGGTACACAGTAGCACTAAAATCATATGTAATTTAGCTGAGTGAGATGGCTCCATAGTTTCATCCATGATATTCAGTTGAGAGAAAAAGTTATTCATTTTATCATTTCAATGTTTACTCTTTTCTGAAATAGATTAATTTAAATTGCTCAGGGTGATCTTGGAATATCATTTGACATGATGATTTTTTTCCAGTCTGCAAGAAAGTTTAAAACAACAGTAGTTGCTAGCCATTTATTTCCAAATGCCCAAATGTATTGGAAGTCAGATTGAATTTTTTGATAATTATCCAGATGTTGAACATATGTAGAGTAAACGTTAAAAATAGAATAAGCGACTGCCACTCAATAAGTCATAGGTTAGGGCAGCATTTGGAATAGAAAAATCTTTGAAGAGCCAAAGGTGTCCTTAATGACATCAATGACATTTTTCCATTGAATGGCTGCCCTCACCATCTTATTCTATTATGCAGCAACTTTATAGAGGCTCTCCTTGCCAGTGGCCCCCTCTAAATTCCTTTTCTTATTAACTTTTCAGAAATTCTTTCACACAAAAGGGATTGACAGTTGCTCACTGTAAGCTCTCCCAGGAGAACTGTCATTTTAAGCCTTTAATTAAACAGAGCAATCTTTTACTTTAGGATTTTACAAAACGTAGTCAATAGAAAAGGGAACGTTCGAGGAACAAAGAAGTTTCCTTGAATCTCTTACATCATACCAGGTAGGTGACTGTTCTATGCATTCTCCTTAGCAAATCAGGCCTTGCTTGGCAAAAGAAGTATTAAATAGAGATAATTCCAATACTTATTCAGTCTTATCTTCATAATCATTATCATTGCTATTCTCCTTCATGACTCATCTTTTTTTCTTTGAAATCTTACATATTTTCCCCCAAGCAGAAGGAAACCGAAAAGTAAAATGAACTCAAAGAAGCATTAAACATATTCTATCAAGGAGATCCGTTAGCAGCAGCAACTTTTATGAACGCATGTAAAATAAAATAATTACACAAACAAGAATGTACATACACTTATTCAAACATTCTCTGCAAGTTTTGATGAAAGTTAAAATAGACAAGTGCTTAAGGCAAATAATGTTGGCAGAATGCTAAAGTGGTGAATAGATCGCCTCTGCCACATCAAGATAGATTGTCTATCTATGGGGTCTCATTGGGGGTAGCACCACAGATGGACTCTAGTCCATGATTAAGTTAGGAGAGGACCTGGTGCTCCCTAAACTAAGGCAGGAGAAGTGGTAGGTCATGCCATTAGTTAATACACCAAAGAGCTGCAGCCGTAAGAGTCAGACTCCTGACCACGACAGGGAGAGGATCAGTGCTTTAATCATGCTTCTTAAAACTAAACAAAATTAAACTAAGGCAGCAGAGTGGTAGGTCATGCTGTTAGTTAATACACCAAATAGCTGTAGCCATAAGGGTCAGCCTCCTGACCACGACAGGGAGAGGATCAATGCTTTTTAATCATGCATCTTAAAAATCACACAGCATTAAGAGCTGAGATCTCTCTCCCAAGTCAGATATCTGTCCTAGCCAAGGTGCAATGGACAACACCAAACCCCACATCTGCTGCTTCTATTACCTTGTGAACCTTCTCTGAAGAATTCTTCCTACCATAAGATGAGCATGTATGAGGTCTGGCAATTTGCCTTTGTTTTTATGAAAATATAAAAATATAACATACAATGAAATAATTTAATAGACGTATACCTATATTGATATATCAAATACTTAATATTCATTAATCTTTCAACAAATAATTTTTGAGACTAAGTCTGTGCCAGAAACTGTATGTACAACATAAACACAGCATTGGTATATAAGATAAAGGTCAAGACTGGGCTTTGAAATTAGGATTACCGAGTTAGAATTCCAGTGTTGCTTGTGATTAGTAGTGTGAGGTGAGCAAGTTCTACTCTCTGACTCACATTTTTTGTTCCATAAAATAATAGTTACATTTGCGAGGTTGTCATGGGGATTAATGAAAACGTATGAATAGTACTTAATATAAATATGACAACTATAAAATTCCACTTTGGTCAATATATTATCACACTTTTCTTTGAAAAAGAATCCTGATAATGAGGACACATAAATGAATTCTTAATTTCAAAAATGCAAATGATTAAGCAATAAGTTAGAAGAATATTAGAACCAGATTTAAAAAAAACAAACTTCTTAGTAAAACACGGGGGTGTCCCTTATTACAATAGTCTGTTTAAGCATGGATGCATAAAACTTACACAGTATCTGTAAATATCTTCATCCAAAATTCACACTGATAATCATTAATTATTAAGCCATTTATCAGTGGGAAAAAATATCAGTTCTCAGTGACTAAAAACAAAATAGAGGGAAAAAAAAGGCTTCTCAAGAAATCTCCTCCCATCCAATTTCATAGAACACATCTAAATAAGTCAGCTGTGTAGGTGGGTTGCTAGGGAATGCTGTAGTTTAAAGTACTTATATGATAGCTTTGAAAACATGAGTCCATGTGGAAATTAAATTGTAAGAATTAAGTGGTCATGTCCAGTCACAAGCATCCATTTTGAAGACATTACATAATGTCACAGACTGTACGGAATATCCCACTGGTAAGCTGTAATCACCAGGTGACTTCTGCGTGATAGAGACACCCATGATAAGGCTGAGAGGAAGTTATTAATAGAATAGCCTTTACCATATCTTGCTGTAGATGCTGTTTAAAGTTCCTTTAATTTAAGCAAATAAGCCAAAAGCTTCTAGTTCAGAGCTCTGAACACAAGGATTACACCAGGGATGTTATGTAATAAGTTAACTAAACTGGTTTGTTCCTGAGGATTTTATTCCTTTTCCTATATATTCCTAAGGAATTTACTTGTCTCCCCATACCCCACCCTCAGTAATGGAATAGAATAAAGTGGCTTTGAAGTATATGCAAGGGAAAGCATAAGAAAAAAATGCATTTTTAAGAAAAAAAAATGAATTACGCTGGTTTCCTATTTTATGAGTTGAACTTACTCCAGAAACAAGACAAATACTTTCCTAGTATGCTCTTTGGGGAAGAAATTTAAAAATTTGAATAAATAGAATACATCATCCTCAACTAAGTACTAAATGTAGAATAAATGAATGAAGGAATGAATGTTTCCCAAGTATTAGATGCTTTAAATACATGATTCTATTTCATATCCATCATAATTCCATTTTAAAGAGAATGAAGCTGATACGCAATGACTCTTACTCCAGAAGGCAGAGGTGGGATGCCAGAATTCTAAACAGAGCCCTATCCTCTAATCAATCATCTTTTCAATGGCTGTAGGTTGAAATTAAGGACAATTGAGGAGATACGTAAAATACATGAATGCAATCTAATCATGAAGAAGATTACTAAAACATATTGCCTGTTACTGAGACAGAGTAAAGAAAAATGATCCAATAAGCAGCTTCTAACTTGACTGGTGAAAAACAGAACAGGATGGAAATAATTGAACTTCTATATGAACCTGCATAAGCTGTACTTGTAAAGGTATTAGGTATTACTTTTAAAAACAATGAGTTTCACCTTGAGGCATTGTCATCTATTCTGCTTCCCTCCTTAGCTGAAGATAGTTAAATAAGTTACTTTTTCCTATATTAAAATAAATTTTGTAAAAAGGAAAAAATTTTTAAATTAAAATCTATAATAATGAATGAATTTTACTGTGCTTCTGTAGTTTTACCATCACTTCCAGCGTATACAACTAAATTGCCTGAAGATGGGAAAGATCCACTCCAGGGAGGCATTCAGTATTGGCTAAAGAAACATACCATGTTTTCATGTTTCTTTGACCGTTGTTGATTTCATCACTTGTTTCGAAAATTTGTTTCAAAGCCCTTGGAAATCCCGACTTCTCAGTTTCTTTCTTGAATTCGATGGGACTGCAGAATAATTTAAGCTTTTCATCTGAGTTAGAATCTGTATTTCTGTAGTTCATCAACCTCATCTGTCACGTATATGTCACTGAAATGAGAAAAACCTTAGAAGGCAGAAAAAAATTAAAAACAAATTAATGTGGGAAGATGATATAAATCAAGTGGTGAAGCCAAGAGTGAATTATCAAAAGATCTTTCATCAGAAGTGAATACATTTTCCTTTCTCTCAAGAGGAACCCATTATGTGTTTTTGTTTGCACTATTGTACTTCAAGTGGCATATTAAAGGAATAGATTTATTAGGATTTAGAATGTGTTTTACTCTGATAGGAAAGAATAGTGGTCCTTTAAATTTCATTTGAAAAGACTGAAACCTTGAAAGTCGACATAGGGCCTGGCTAGTAATGAATGCTATGAAAAACAAATACTGTTTATAACTTAAAATGCATGACTGAATCATCCCCCATAAGAAAAGAAAATATCGCAACAAGACCAGCTTAGAATTAACATTATTTAGTCTATCTAAAATCCTTATAGTTTATTCAGTCAAATATGACAGTTTGACATTTTTTAGCAAACGCATACTCTGTTTACTGAGAGGGAAAAGAAACAATTAAAACAAGGATTGCTTACATGTTCTAAGCTTGTTTTCCCTCCGAGTTAAACTAACTGGCTTTACCAATGGGTTTTGAAAGACACATCTATATCAAACAGAAATCTCAATAAGGGGTTTGGAATTGCCAGGCAATGAGGGAAGATAAAGATAGATAGAAATTCAACTATAAAGAAAAATTTGTTTTTTAGTAGCTCGCCAATCACTACATCTGTTTTTTTTTTTTTAATCAGAGAAACATAAATTGCAATATTGTAAGTTTTTTTGGAAGAGAGAGAGAGAGACAGAGAGACAGAGAGAGAGAGAGAGACAGAGAGAGAGAGACAGAGAGAGAGAGAGAGACAGAGAGACAGAGACAGAGAGAGAGAGAGAGAGAGAGAGAGAGAGTGTGTGAGAGAGAGAGACAGAGAGAGAGAGAGAGACAGAGAGAGACAGAGAGAGAGAGAGAGAGAGAGAGGAGAGAGAGAGAGGAGAGAGAGTGTGTGTGTGGTGAGAGAGACAGAGACAGAGAGGAGGAGAGACAGAGAGAGAGAGAGGAGAGAGTGTGTGTGGTGGAGGAGAGAGAGAGAGGGGGGGGGGGGGGGGGGGGGGGGGGGGGGGGGGGGGGGGGGGGGGGGGGGGGGGGGGGGGGGGGGGGGGGGGGGGGGGGGGGGGGAGAGAGAGAGAGAGAGAGAGAGAGAGAGAGACAGAGAGAGAGAGAGAGAGAGAGAGAGAGAGAGAGAGAGAGTGTGTGTGTGTGTGTGAGAGAGACAGAGACAGAGAGAGAGAGAGAGAGAGAGTGTGTGTGTGAGAGAGAGAGGAGACAGAGAGAGAGAGAGAGAGAGAGGATGAGAGAGACGGACTTGTTAGGAAAGCAATGTCTGGGCATTTACCTTGGCCTAAGATGCTAATCAGTGGTGTGATTTGGGGAAGGGAACTGTTGTAATAGTAATAACGTTCTGATCCTGAGATCTGCAAATGTCTGTGACAACAGGCAGAAAGGGATTTTTTCTTTTATAGACAGGAATAAGTAAGGCTAGTAACAACCAGGCTTGGAAAAATGGGACAAGGGGGACCTGGTGAGATCAGAGGGGTCAGCCTCTTCGTGGCGGGGGTGGGTCCTAAATGAGCAGTTGTATGCTGGCTCAGGCAGAAGGTGCTTCAAACCAGGTTCGAGGAAGAGGGAAGGAGAGAAATGTCACACATTTGGGTTGGGAGAATTTTGTTCTGATTAACCAGTTGTAGCAAGTAGTTCAGCTGATCATTTATGAGTGTCTGGCCTAGTCATAGGTAAACAAGGGGGCATCCATGAGTTGTATCTAAGATAAGTGGGGGAAGTGGGGTTCTTTGCGGTGGACTATTTTCTGGAACACAAAGGATGGGGGGATTTCTTTAATGTTCACTCCTTTCCAGGACTGAGTTAGGGTGAAATTCAACATTGTCAGTCTTGATGTCACTCCCAGCTCTGAGCCTTTTTTTTCTTGCTCTTACCCTAAACAAGAAAGGTTCTTTCTTTTCCTCTCTTGTCACAAAGATCCTGGAAGAACCAGGTCACTGCATTGAAGTATTAGGGCAAGGGTTGGGGAGGAAGAATCACATGGGAAAGTCTTTAAAGAGGAAAGAAACCACCTGGGACAACATCATCTGAGCTGAGAATGGTCTCTTAGGAATACCTAAAATCAGATCATAAAGTCTCCTCAGCTAATGGGAAGGTCATGGCTGGATTCTGCGGTTCGTTTCCAAAGCTCTGAGCATAAGAAGGGCACCCTCTGGATGGGCTGGAACAGGAGAAAGTAGCATACAAGGTGGTGAGTGTACGTCTGAGGCTCTTCCAGACAGATGTTGGCAACTGTGTCTGGCCTGAACAAGAACATAAAGGGTACATCTTACAGCAGATCTCATCAGAGTGAGAAAGTGACAGTGTACACCAGTGATTCCATCGTGCCCCATAGGGTCAGGGTGAGGACAACGTGAAATTAAGTGGGTGGTGATTTTTTCCCTCCTGGGAAATGGTGTATAAATCTGAACTTCATGAAGTTCATATATTTTTGGACTCTGTCTCATTTTCTTAAATCAAAAATGCTACTTATCACCTTCGTGATTTGTAAGTTTCTCCTGTGAAATCATAGGACAATAATAACTTGAGAAAAAAAGTTCTTCCCAACAGGGCACCATGGATTGTTACTGTTATACATGCTACTACCATCAAAAGCAGTGAAGATACATCATACATTCTATAATTAATTCCGGAACAGTGAAAAAAATTTAGTTCTGCTCATCACTGACAAAATGCCAATAACTCTCATTTAAATTTACTGTTTAGGAGCAGTCAGATCTTTTATCACTATTGTGATAAATTAGAAGTGGGAATGAAGCCTGTGTTTTCTGTAATTAAGTAGTAATAATGCCATTTCTGACATACTTTGTCTCTGTCATCAAAGTAATATGATTTGCTTCTTAATTACATTTCTGGTGAAAGTGAAATAACAAAGAACACCACCAGTGAATTCATCTCCTTATAATACATGTTACAGTGAGACTTGGTTAATGCTAAAGAGGTAGCAAGGAAAGAGGCTTGGCAAACCAGATTAGATTTTCTCTTCCTCTTACTTGTCCTAGTATACAGGATGTTATTATTCTGCATTCCATAAATTACATGTAATTGCATTTTAGTGTCATCTCCATTTCTCATAGTGTTGAAATGTTCATTGTAGCTTACCAGGAAGCCTTAAATGTGGGTGCATGGGAAGTGGGATGAAGAAAATGACGCCAATCTTGATTTCTATATGCTATTATCAAAGCTCCATTTAACCACTCTTCTAGAGGTGGGGCAGTCACACCTGAATTACACCATCGACTAATGGAGACCACCTAGAGAGACTCCAAAAGACTTATGGGCAGTAATTTTTAGAGCGATTCCATTATGCTTTAGGCAGCAATATTCACAAGACCCATCTTAGCATTTGGTGAATGATTCTGAATCTGAAGCTTTATTTTCCCCTTTCTCACCTAATCATAGCAGGTAAGTTCTGTCACCCCCCAGGTCTCCTCTAAAAGCTGCGCATCTTTGTACTGCTTACAGCTTTGTCTCAAGCAACAAGTCCCAGCAACTAGAAAAATATCCTTTTCCGCCTCCACATTCCCAATTTGGAAGAGCCAGCTGAGAGCAATATGGTGGAGTAGGCTGACCTCAGCTGACACTCCGCAAACATTTGCTTAGCACTGTGCTAGATGTGAATAGAAATAAAGATAAATAAAAATAGGGCCCAAGCCCTTCAGAAGCTGGCAAAGTATTAATTCACTTGGGAAGATTCTGATAAGTTTATTCACACTAAACTGTTATTAGCTGACAAGTGTTAGTTCCGTCAGGTGTTATTACAACAGGTTCCTTAGCAACCCAGTTTCTCCTTGCGTGGTTGGTAGGAAGCAGGGGGAGAAGCTGAGGTACTAGGGTATTGCTGTGTGGGAACAGCTTTAGAAGAAATCTGTCAGAGAATTATAAAGTTGCCCAACTGAAGCTCCAGAGAATCACCTGCCAACCTATTTCATCCTGGGGCTTTTACAGAATGGGCTCCCAGGAATGTCCCTTAACAGATTTGCTGCAAACCAAGAAAGCAAGTGTGCAGAGCTGACCTTGGAGCCAGGAGCTTCAGGAAGCTCATTTTCTCATTAAGAATTGTCTTCCCTTTAAAAGCACCATAATGTAGCTTGTAAAACTGCCTTCCTTTAAGAGCTTGTTTCATAGCCTGATATTTTGTGGAGTAATGGCTACAGAATTTAGGTTCAATTCACAGTGATCCTAAAGGGCATCACTGTATCAAATGTTTAGAATGTTAGGAATTTTAGGCTAGAAATCAAGTGGCCTGAGTGAATTTCACATTTCAATGAGTGTATAAATGAGATGTGCCCTGAAGAAAGATTTGGGGTCGGTGGGTGGACAAATCTTAGCCTTTTTACAGGAAATGTCTGTATCTATTTCTATCTATCTATCGATAGATATTTGTACATATAGCATATGTGTGTATACATACATAATTTCTTATATTTAATTTGTGGTTATATAACAATGAACAATTGAAAATCAGGGACCAGCCTACTTACACAAAAAAATATATATTACTTTTATTAATTCTATAATCATCAAACAGTAAAAATGAAAACTAGGGCTCAGAGTACTTACAGAAATCTTCCTGCAGAAAATTATGGTGACTTCTACTACCATTTAGACAGGATTTTAGTAAGTTCAGGTTTAAAATATACGATGCGTGCTTTGAAGATCAAGGCCTGGGCCCGTTGGCTTAGAATAAGGTTCATCTGTAAACATAGCGATTCAGTAAACTGTCACTAGCCAAGGATGGATCTTGCCTTCATCTGCCTGAGCATCAGGAGAAAATTTATTTAAGGAGAAAGAAAACAAGAGCAAGGAGCATTCTGTGGCTTGTATGTCTTGTAACTTGAGATGACATTTTCTGCATACTTTCTACTATATAATATCCAGTAGAAGATATGGGATGCCCAGATCTCAGTGGCTCAAATCACAAGCAAAAGGCAGTAATTGGATGTCCACACTGTCCATCATCTCAAGGACAACAGAGACAGATGGGCCACCTCAGGTGCAGAAGCCAGATATGGTGAAGGGACTTGAGAGACTATGAATCATTCTTTACTGAGGAGGGGTGGGGTGGGGTGAGCAGTGAGGATGAGATTGGCAGGTATTTCCCATTCTGCTTGCAGTCTTTTTCACTGTGGGATTAGCAATGGGCATGGACCATATCTGAATATTAGTAATTTACAGGATAAAATAAAGGGATGCTAGGAAACTCTTCTGACATTCTGTCTCCTGAAGTTCTGAAGATGTCACTCACAGTCTTAAAAAGAGAAAATATTATCAATCAGAGCCTGATGAGAAGAAATGAGAGTCCCGGACCTTAACTAACAAGTTCCATGGAACAATAGTATATGTAAAAATAAATGACACGCGATAGGCACTCAAGAAATGTTTTCACTGATAATAATAATAGACAACATTTTGG